TTAAGAGTACAGTACCTCACTTCTAGCAGAATCCGTGTATTTTAGTAAATTAGGAAAATATGACCTATCCTCGTTGTATATGTTACAAGGTGCCCCATGTAAACTTGTTATAGTTTGTGTCTAGATGTCTCCCCAAAGCTTATGTGGTCATAAGACATTCTCAGAGGTGGCTGAATCTAGAGGGTATGATGCTGGGATTAAGTGTGTGTGATTACTAAATCAGTCCACTGATTGGTTTGGTGTAGTTCTGGCTAAGATAAAGGTTGTGAGTGCTACACCCACCCTAGGGCAGGTAGCCTGCACACAATATAAGAGACAGAGAGATTAGAAAGAGCCTTGTCTCATTCTCCCTTTGTTGCTTTTGCTACCTTTCCATTACCATGAACTGTTGACCTGCCATGTATCACTCTGCCTTGGAGCCAGTTCATTATGGACTGAACCTCTACAAATTGTCAGCTAAATAAACTTTTCCTCCCTTAACTTGTGGGTGTTGGGTATTTTGCTCAGCAATGAGAAAAGTCACTCAGACAACTATTCAACTAGAAAAAGTTGCCGTTGTTTTAGGAAGCCTCACTGAGCACAGGGTTTGTCCTCTTTGCTTGTCCTCTTACCATGTTCTTCTGCCCAGCATGCAACTTATACACCAGTTGAAGACTTTTAGTCCTCCAAGAAGCCTTATGATGACATCCATATTCTCAAATCATGTTTAAAAGAGACAAAACATGCAGAGAAAAGTTTAATAATTCGCCCAAGTTCACACAGCTTACAAGCTCACAAGTGTCAAAATCAGGTTTAGAACAAGGCTGCCTAGCTTTCCAATTCATTTACCCTGATTTCTATGCTGTCTCCATATATGTGACATAATATAATGATGGAGTATTTCATGAATTGTTGAGTGTAAGCACTATGCTTGTCATTCATGTTATAATCACTAATAAATCAATAACATTTTTCTCATGAGCAGGACAAAATATCTGACGCCTTCAATTTAAAGGAGGATGAAATTATTTTCGGCTCATGCTTTTAGTCCATAGCTTGTGGGTTCCAAGGAAGGAAGCCATGGTGGAAGACAGTGAGAGGAGGAAAGCTGCTCACTTCATCATGGTGGCAGGAAGCACAGTGTAAAGGAGGATTCTGGGAGACGGATGCACCCTTCCAGATCTCATCTCCTTTGACCTGCCTCTTCTGAACAGGCTCCACCTCCCAGCAAAATATTTAGCTATTTCACCCTGGTGGTCCAATTGCATTCCCCAAATCCCTGCCTCTGAGCACACGAGGCTTTGGGGGGACACTCAGATATAAACCATGAGAAACACTGATCACTCATTGATTACTGAGTGCTAATATATGCAAGGATGTGCATTAAGAATTTATTTCTATGTAGGATTTGAATTTTCTTTTGCTGGATCTTTAGATTAGAGTTAATATTTGATTACCTTTTATCTTGGATTTTAAAACTATATATGCTTTTTTTTTAATCTATCCCTTTTATTTTCCAAATAAACCAAGCCAAGACTGAGTACTTTTCCCAATACAGAATGAAACTATACTCAACTTGTCAGGGTGTATCAGAACTATTTTCAGGCTGTGTATACTATCAGGAATATGTTAAAGCGCTGAAAGAAACAGAATTACCTTACAGTTGTAACATTCTGATCCCCCTGTTTATGAACACCTCAAACAGTTGCAAACAGTAAAAATTATCAGTGAAGAACTGACTGGCTTATTCTGAGGGTGCTTTTACAGAATACTGCTTTTCTAACATTAATGTATAGATATCACCATTTTCAGGAAAAAGGTGTATAAATAAAATCATGAAATGATGACAAATAACAGCTAAGGAATAAGGTAATGATAAATGGGCAGTTTATTAAGTGACTAGTAATAAGATTAAGAATCTCCTTGCTCAAGAGATTCTTAAAGTAATTGCATTTTTGAAGACTGCACTGTCATCATTTTATGCTTTTCATGATGTCATGAAACCGTTCCATAGACTGAGACATATTCAGCACTTTCTTTTCTTTATCTTTCTTGCCATTGTATTATAGTAATCTTCGGGCTACTTATCATCCATAAATTTGCAATATCGTATGTCATCTGTGTGGTAAAAAGAGGACTCTAAGTCATGCATAAAATGTATGTCAGTCATAGTAAGGTTAAACTCATACATATTAAAGTGTTCTAGACAAAAGTGTCATGAAACACACATAATACTATTTTGCAGTATAAACAGAGTAGGGGGACCACGTCTATGCAAACTAAAAGGAAAAATTTAAATACAAAGAAAGAAGAGGAGAAGGAAATATTGTACTTCAAAATTCCACTGATTTTTTAAAAAATTTACTTTCTCTTCAAATATGTCCTCCCAATTTAGACCTGAATTTTGAATGCTTCTTTTTCATATTTATCCAAGTATGATGAGTAAAATTCTCTTACCTTTTTTCTAAAGTTAATGTTGTCACATGCTAATTCATAAAATTAAATGTTTCTAGCCCACACAGTCTCTACACATCTGTTTGTAGTAAGAAATCAGTCCAAGTCTAAGCTCCTCAAGGTAGCTCTCTAATTAGTAATAAATTTATTAAATATTATTTCACTATTATTATTCTAGTTATATGTTTTATTCTTTATTCATGTCACAAGTCCTTTCTCATTTCTGCCACGAAATTAAATCTTATACCACACACGCTATTAAATACTATTAAGTCTGATGGGCCAGATGATGATGAAGTTATTTGAGATGTTATTTCTTGCTAAAATATTTCCACTTTATTTTTAAATAGTGTTCTGTACTTTTAAAATGTTGTATTTGTAAGTGTTGAAAAGTATCTGACTGAATATTTTAAAGTATTAAAATATAAAGATTTCTATGGGGAATTATTTTGTGAGCTCTTATTTGTGGAAGGGTTGGGTAAATGGTTATTTAAGTGTGTTAGATAGAAATTAGAAATTGTTGCTATGAAATTTAATAAATAGAAACTTTGTACCACATGTTGGAAGTATAGTCCAAAGAATGGTCCCAAAGAGGCTGCTTCAGTTTTTCTCCCACACTTGAAAGGAGATTTGGTGAGAAGTCCCTAGTGGTACAAGGAGGTTAATGCACCACTGAGAATTTAAGTCCATCAGGAAGACAGGGACACTGAGAAAGCATTACTTCCAGTGTGTTAAGCTTTAGGTAACTGTCTGCACAGCCCAGCACAGATGAAATGTGGGTTTTAAAAAATTACTCTTCAAAGAACAAGAGTCACTAATTAATTTATAAATGGTTAAGCTTCAATGTGAGTTTTATGCCTAATGACAATTGAATTATTCATAAGAAAAACATAACTAGGTAATTGTTTTAATATTAAGTAAACATCATCATCTATGCAAAATCAAATAGATCATGTTCAATTACTTAGAAATTTTCCAGATGTCATCTTCAAGATGCTTTAAATTCTTAATAGAAAAACACAGCAAAGGATTTGGAGTAATTTATGTCTTAAGGGAATACAAAATAAACTTTTCATCAATAATTCAAGTTGTTTTGCTGAAGGTATCTTTTTTCTTCCCTTGAAATTTTAAGTTATGTAAACAAGAATATATCAACAGCCAATGACATGTTTCTATTTAAGAAAATACTTAAGTTCAAAGCATGATCATCGCTGTTCAATCACTTACATGAATAATGCTAATAAGCAAAAACAGTCAGGTGTGTAATTCACACCATCAGATAGGTCTACATAGTTTAACATTTTTATTCTTAGCTGAATTAGAGAAGAGAGGATCTAATGGCGCTGCTTCTGTACTACCTGAAAAACTGTAAGTGGGGAGTGACTGGCAATGAACTATCTAAGAATTTCTTTCTGAACCTGTGGAATACCAGAAATCCCGAGGGGAAGGTCAGTAACAATTAAGTCAAAGATGCCGATTTCTAAAGGTCGAGCTTCACCACTGATTAAGTTGCTGTCATCTATCATTTATCTCTACATCCAATGACACCTGTTGTGAGAATGCACAAAATATAAACAGGACTTTGGGTAGTTTTACATAAAACAAATCTTTCCACCGTTAGAACACACGCCCATACACATCCAACGCACGTTTATTGTACCGCCTTAATGAGCATAGCAACGTATTTCCATAAGGGTAGCTGTGGTCCCTCGTATAAGGCCCTGTCACATTCATCCTGGCCATTGACAATCTACACTCTCTTGGAGAATTTCCCCTCTTAAAAGTAAAGGGAAGTGGATACAGTATAAGCTGCTCTACAAGAAGAGAGTGACTATTGAAAATGAAAAATGGGAGACAATGCTGGGAAGCTTGCTCATTTTAATCCGTTTGCCTTGCACTGGTTTGACAGATTTAATTGTACACCTTTTGCATGCTTGATCCTTCAGTCCTTAGCAGTGCACCTCGCTCCAGCTGTGGCTGACTTCATTTTCTGAGACGTCGCTAACTTGGAATGAGGCGAGCGAACCCAAGGCGCCTGTGCGCAATAACCTGCAACCCCGTTCTTTGCCAGTCCTGCTGAGAACAAAGGCTGTGTAATCAGGCATCCTGGAGCGACTCACGGTGCACTGGTCTGGTCCGAGAAATCAGTCCTGTGAACGCTGTGCGGGGACTGAAGCCGAGTCCAGGCCGAGCGGGGGTGGGGGCATTTCTGCTGAGGGTTTTCTGTTTCTGGTTGCGTCTACCCCACCCCTTTTCCAGGTGCCCTGTTCTACCTCTTGGTCAACTGTCTTACATAGAAAGTGGAAATCACTCCGGGGAAAGTCTGTACAGCATAGGATCAAGCTGGAGCTTGCCCCATAGCTACTGAACAAAACACTTGGAAAAATTAAACTTTCCGTTGAGTGAGAGGCGAAAGAGTAGCAAGATCCATGCTTCCTCGCTTTCTCCCAGTCCCAAGCCCGTCGTAGCTCCCCACCGCGAGTCTCCCCATCCTGGGACAGGCTGCCCCTCAGAGTCGCGCAGTCTCTGGCCCCTATCGCCCTTGGGCACGGCGCCCCCAGACTTACCACTGACGACCCGGCGGCAGAAGGCTCCGGGGCCGCAGAGCAGCGCGGCGCCCAGCAGCAGGGAGACCGCGCGCAGCATCCCGGCGAGGCGGCAGCAGCAGCAGCAGGTGTCGCTCGCAGCTGAGGGCCCCTCCGCCCGCAGCTCTAACCCTGCGGCTTCCCGGCCTCCCCGCTGTCCTACTCCCTCCGCCCCAGGCCAGTTGCCCGGGCTCCCGCACGCATCTCCTTGGTGTGGGACCTGCCTCCCGGCGTGCCTGTGCCGCGCAGGGGTGTGCCTGGGCTGGAGCGCACAACTCCGCGGTGCGCCTTTGGGGACAGGGGACTGAAGTTAGGGGCTCCTGGGCCTGTTGCAGAGGTGAGGCGGGAGCCCCAGCTTAAACCAGTCTCTCGTCCTTTGCTTCTGTCCCTGGCCTCTGGGGACTGCAGGGCTGAGCTCCTGCGCTCTGGTCCCGACTCTCGCAGCAGTAGCAGCGGCTCTGCGCTGGAGGCGCGATCTTATATATCCACATCCATAGGTCCCTGCCCCTCCCTAGTAATAATTTTTAACTACTTCGTCTCTCCTGCTATGAGCATCACTGCCACTCCCCTAAAAACTGCAGCGGCTTTGCAAACAGTCCAGTCAGCAGTGCCACCTCCCCCTCCCCGCTCCTCCCCCTGCCCTCTTCCCATTCGCTAACAGACTCCGTACTCATTTGTGTAAAATGTGACAGCTTTGCTATTAAACTCTGTCAAAAGTTGGATCCATTTGGTTTTCTCAGATAAATGTCCACAGCAATGCCAAGTTGTGGGGCCTTTCTCCTTCTGTGCTAAATGGCTTGATCATGTGAATTGCTAGATGCAGGGCAGTTGCCACTCTTTAAGGTGGATTGGAAGAGTGGGAGCCAAAACCTGCTCTGTGAATTGATGGAAAGTGGCAGGTTTTCCCCCACCTGGGATCGGCACATAGATTATTTCCAAGCAGGTTGTTTGACTAAATTGCTACAGGAGCAAACTGAATAGAATATTGGAAGCATAGTTTTCTCAACTGATATCAATCTCAGTTTCTGCAGCGCTAGAGAAAACCGTCAAGACAAAATAAATATTCCAAATTCTTAAGAATTTACTGGATATAAAATGTACTTATTTCTTGGAGTACTGGATAGAAATATTGGTTTCCTGGAGTATTGCATAGAAATTCATGGGACTTTTTTGTATATCCAGTTCATGGTATGAACCCTAAAACTGCTCTCATAAGGAATCTCAGTAGACTTGGCATTTTTCCATTGTATTGCCCAACTGTAGTAACATTTGTTAAACAAAATCCTTTTGTCTTAATGGGTACTTTCTCCTAACTTTTCACTCTTTTTGATTTTCATAAGCCATAAGGGTGGTCCAAATATTTGTTGGAGTCTTTTCTTAGAGAAAAGATGTCCGTGTTACTGTAGTCAGAAAAAGTCCTTCAGAATGAGAAATGTTAGTACTTGCAAGGAACTCACAATTATGTGTGCCCTATCGATTTATTTTTCCTTATGTCACCTAGAAACATAGCAATTTGGTCAGGGGCATGGAAAATTGAAAAGTCTGGATTTTGTAACTGATTTGTAAGTTTCACTGTGAGCTAAATATCCACCAAATTAAAAATAATAATAATAATAAAATGAAGTGCTACAAATTTAAATGGATAACTGATAAAGTCTCCGGGCAGTGGAAGTGTAGCTGACCCCTGCAAAACATGTGAAATGGACCTCTGGGTGTCAGTGTGGTCAGAGTGCTGCCTACAGAGGCTCACAGTCCGCTGCAGAAAAACAAATGCAGTAAAATAATGACTGGGTGTCAAAAAAATGCTGTTGTGGAAGGACAGATAAAATACCACTTTAGTGTAGAGAAACTAGCAGTGTTTGTAGGTATATTTGCAGGCACTCTTGTGAAGCAAAGGTAGGATGCTGTTAACCTTTGGCTGATGGCATGAGGGACCTCTCCAAATACCCAAGGACTTGGATTCTGCGTGGGACTTCCTTTCCCCTTTCATGCCACTCTACTTCTCTTGTTTGTGGATCTCTAGCCCAGCAGTAGGAGATTACAACATAAACATTGGTTATAATTTCCTGCAAATCAGTGGACCCTCTACTGTCTCAAATGCCTCTGAAGACTAAAAGGTCAGCAAGTTCCTAAAAGCATTATTGTCATGGAGGAGCCCCATAGTTTTAACATTTCAGAAAATCCAAATTATGGTGATAACTGTATATTGAATATGGTGACACAGGCTTCCTAAAGTATAGTTTCTTATCTTTGGGCCAGAATTATATCAGTTTAAAGTGGCCACAGCCAACCTCCTGAATTCAGGAAAATATAGGCTTATTTTAGAGATGATATTTTTAAGGGAGCTTGTTATGGTTTGTGTGTGGGTGTCCCCCCAAAGCCTCATGTGCTCATGGAGCAGGCTTTTGGAGTTTGATTGATTATGGGTGTGAGAGCTACACCCGCCCTGGGGTGGATAGTTTGCATATGTAAGGGAGAACAAGAGGCTACTTGGGGCCATTTCCTGGCTTTTGTGCTTCTGGCCATTTCCTCCCTTGTGTGTGTGCTTGTTGCTTTGCTGTGTTCTGCGGGCATCAGCTGTAGCCCTCTGCCATGTGCCACTCTGCCTTATAATCTGCCAAGTATGGACTGAAACCTCCACAAACTGTAAGCAAAATAAACCCTTCCTTCCTTAATTTTGGGCATCAGGTATTTTGTCCAGCAATGAGAGAAAAATAACCAAGACAGAATTTGGTTCCAGAGGAGTGGGGTCATTGCTGTGACTATATCTGACCATGTGGTTCAAGAGCCTTTAGAAATGGCTTGTGGGGAATGTTTGGAAAGGCTTGGAGTTGTCGCCTGAAAGAGAAGCGCTAGAACACCTTTGCCTGTTCTGTCTGGGAGATTCTGATCAGAGCTCTGAAGACCAGCAGCCTATTAGAAATCCTGCAGGTAAAGACCAGGTTCGGGAGGTTTCTGTTGGGAAGAAGGACTTCATTGGTTGTTGGACTCCACACGATGTATGTTATGGCTTGGTAGAAAGCTTGTCTGCATTTTGCTCGTGTCCAGAGACTTTGCCTAAGACTGAGATTAAGGGCAGCAGCAGACTGATTAATCTGGCAAAAGAAATTTCAAGGCAGTCAAACATTGGGGGAGTGGCATGGCTATTGTTGGGGGCTTTTAGCCAGATTTATATTGAGAATCAAGAACAAAGAGCCCAGCAGGATGATTTAAAATGTTGTGAGTTTGGCCAGAAAGGAAGCTCCAGTAATGCTGTGGACTGCAAAGATAAGGCTGAGAAGATCTCTATTGCTGAGAAGGAACAGGAGAATAGAAAAGATGGCCTGAGGGCATAACAAGAAGCGGCAAGTCTCCACCCTTTGCAGCCTCAAAAAGGCAAAGGTGAAAGACCTTGCTGTGAGAAGAAAGGTACTGAGCGCCATGTTCCAGAATGGTGGCAGCGGCAGCCACACCAGGTTCCAGAATGGCGGCAGCATAGAGGATCTGTTCCACAGAATTGGATTCAGAGTGCCCAGCGATCCAGGCACTAGACCCCTGTGGGGCCAAAAGAGAGGAAAACTTGGCTACCGCTCCAGGTGGCAGCAGACCTTGGCATCATCCACATGGCCCTGGCTTTAAGTGCATGGAGAATGCAAGAGTTCTGAGGTTAAAGAGGCTTTCACCCAGATTTTAGAAGGCCTGGGAGGCCAGGCAGTGTGCCCCTGAGAGGGCAGTGTGTAAGGCTGTGAGTGTGAAGCAAAAGGTGCCCTGGAGACCTCAGAAGTTTAGAAAAGCCAGGACCGTGGATTGTCTGAGGAAAGCTGAAAGGAGGGAGCAAAGCAGGCCTAAGAGAGAAGTCATGGAAGCTGTAACCACCACAAGTGCCACAGGGGTGGACTCATGCAAGCCCTTTGGAGCTCACAATGTGCCACAGATTGCTTCAGATGCTGGTCATGGAACTACAGGACATAACGTTAGCCCTGCTGGATTTTGGACTTGCTTTGGTCCCAATGCTCTGTGTCCCCCTGTTTGTCCCTTTTGGAATGGTACTGCTTATTTTGTGCCATTAAATGTTGGAAGTGTTTAACTTTTCATTTGTACAGGGGCTCACAGCTAAGAGTTTGCCTTACATCTCGGAGGAGACTTGGGACTTAGACTTTTCAACAATGCCGAAACTGTTAGGACTTGGCAATTCTTGCAGATGGACTAATTGCTGTTTGTATAAAGGGATGGACATAAGTCTTTGAGGGGCCAGGGGTGGAATGTTATGGTTTGTGTCTGAGTGTCCTCCCCAAAGCCTCATGCGGTCATGGGGCAAGCTTTTAGAGTTTGATTGATTGTGGGTGTGAGAGCTACTCCCGCCCTGGGGTGGATAGTTTGCATATGTAAGGGAGAGCAAGAGGCTACTTGGGGCCATTTCCTGTCTTTTGTGCTTCTGGCCATTTTCCTCCCTTGTGTGTGTGTGTTGTTGCTTTGCTGTGTTCTGCGGGCATCAGCTGTAGCCCTCTGCCATGTGCCACTCTGCCTTATAATCTGCCAAGTATGGACTGAAACCTCCACAAACTGTAAGCAAAATAAACCTTTCCTTCCTTAATTTTGGGCATCAAGTATTTTGTCCAGCAATGAGAGAAAAGTAACCAAGACAGAGCTGATTGAAAAGATCAGCTATTTTGTTGCTCCATCACTAAAAAACATTTGGATGGATCACTATTAAACTCAAGGAGTGCAGTTCAAATGGTCTTAAATATGGAATTTAAAAGTACTAGCTATTCTCTTTGGAAAGCACCAGAGGAACTCTCTCAACTAGTATATATATTTCCTATAGCATAGCAGGAGGTATAAATTGAAAGTTTTCTACAAAAAAGCATTTTTAAAAAATGGTATACGAAGGGGCTGGGGATTTAGCTCAGCGGCAAAGCGCCTCCCTGGCAAGCGCAAGGTTGTGAGTTCAGTTCCCGGTACCGGAGGAAAAAAAAAAAAAAAAGGTATACGTTAGAAACAATGAATACTTATTAATTTTTAAAACATGATTTCCAACACCCCCCCATCCTCTACCCCAGATATTTATGGGATCAGAGGAGAAAAGTGGCCTTTTTATGGCAACCATTTTAAGCTCTCAATTAACCACAATAAATTAGAAGTTTAAAAATTGTGAGCAAATCAGTCAGAAGACTGAGGGGTTCCAGGGTAAGCAGGAGACCCTAAGGCATGTGAGGAGTTGCTTGTACCCTCTGGTGTTAGGACCCAGGTCAACTTAAGTCAAGGCCCCAAAAGACCATGGAACTGGCAGGCTGGAAAGGCATCCCTCACATAGTAAGATGTTCTCCCAAGTAAAGTTAAAAGCATAAATAATAATAATAATGATGATAATCAAAGGAGAACTTTCAGAATTTCAGATTGATTCTACTAAGGAGTTCAGCATCAAATCAACACTTAAAATGGGCTCTTGAAACCCAGATAAAGAGAGGTGATCTCAGTTCTAAGTAGGAGTATCCCATAGCAATCTTAGGAATGAGTTGGTTACTGAACTCTCAGAAGTTCTAAAACACAATATAGCAACAATATTTGGAAACCCACGTTTGGAAGTGGCATCAGTTCCTTAATA